ATAGGCGTAATGGTTTTTATACTGTACAAACTGTATTTTCTAAACTTTGTGCATTTTTACAATCTCAAAAAAACTTATTTTGTATGATTTATAAGCTTCTGTACCCATGGGGACCTCAATTGAGGTCCCTACGGTGACACAAGTCCCCATGAGTGTGTATTCAGGTTTAAGTCCCCAGCAGTATAGAAAAACATGTACACACACACACATGCATACACATGTGGAAGTGTGACACCATTCTGTGTTCTACAGTAACATTGCAGTGAATGAATGGCTGATATAAGTATAATATAATTTATTAATACAAAATACACAAAATTGCTGAATATAAATGAACACTAATTTTGTGCAATATTTACTGATTGTGAAAATATTTAATTAATGTCATAGGAGCAAGACTGCTGTTGTTACAAGGCCTCATGTAATGCTAATACATCAAGTACTCTAACTGTTGTATAATTTAAAACATAAAATGTGCTTTATTAATTGACAAGGTTGTTAGTACATTTCGGAAGCAACGGCAGGTGGAATGACCATTTCTGTTGATACCTATAATCTCAAATATTGGTCGATATCCCTGTCTTTCATTATTGCACAGGTGTGATTACCAGGAGAAAGTGGACACTGGACTTCCCCAGTCTTCTCCTTCTCTCGTCACGTTCAGTATCAGTTTCAGGCTTTAAGAGAGGAATTAGTCTTTTCAGGAAAGTGAGAGAAAGCAGTCAGAGCAGTGTGCTGAAAAAAGCACAGAGAGAGAGAAGGAACGTGAATAGCTGGTTTGCCCTTTCACCATGGGCACCACACGAAGCCTCCACAGTTTAATGTGCTGGAAACCACACGTCTAACATGCTCTCCCATGAGAAGCATTTGGCATGCTGTCTAGCTCCTTCTCTAGCTGCAGTTTCTCTTTTCCTGACAGTTTTTATTTACACTTCTACTTGGATTTCACTCTTTACTTTCTCTGCTCCAAAAAAGTTATTTTAATCAGTACTTTAGTCTTGTTTTCCAGTAAAAACATCTATAATTGAACAGGGTATTAAGACTTACATCTTGTGAAGTTTGGCTTCACAAGTAAATATCTTGTCTTTTAAGGATTTTTATATATTTTTACTGGACAATGACTAATTATAACCAGATACCTTCACCACAGTCTTGTGTGCAAAATGTCTGGCATGATTCATGGTTCCCGCAGTATCAATCCAGTCTTTCAAATGCTTTTAGAAGGAGAATATCTTTAGCATCTGCTCTCTAGGCCAACACAAATGAAAGATCGGACTATAAGCTTTAGATGAATTCTCTGTTTAAACGAGAGCTTGTAATTATTGAGATGGTGTTATAAATACCCCCAGCATGTGTTATGGATGCTGCATACTTTACAGCTCAGGAGTTTATTTCATGGTGTTAAGATTAGTGGAGGAATCTGTCGCCACGGAGGTCATGACAGAGTAATACTCAACAGGTGACTTTAAACTGCGACAGCTCGATCAACCTCTCTCTTCGGTCTCTCATTAATAGGCTAGAAAGTAAAACACAAGAACAGAGACCGTGTGTCTTCTTCACATGTACAATTCAGTTCAGTTCAGTGAGAAATGTTAGGACAGACACATGAAGTAGGTTATATGAAAAAAAGTATGTAATTAAAACAATATTTTCCATCCATAAAATAAATGCATCTAAAGAAGTAAATTAATAAATTCTGCGTTATTTTTAAGTCACTGTGCATGTGTTTTATAACAATGTTTATCTTTGTGTGTGTGTCAGGTATTGTATGATGTGCGTGGCATTCTAGAGAAGAACAGAGACACATTCAGAGATGATATTCTCAACATGCTGAATGACAGCAGGTAACAAATCATTCACTTCATTTCTGCGATTCTAAGCAACGCTGTGGATCCTATGATCCTAAGTGTTTCTTAGCTTGTCATGAGATCAGTGATGTATGTACTGTAAATTATACTTCTCATACTACAAATACTATATATAAGGACAGTTGACAAGAAATATTTCTGGGATTTTGGCATATCTTGTGATACTGTACAGTACTACATCTAAAATTATTCATTAATGAAGCTTTTATGAGTTCATTTTAAATAAAGAGGAGGTCATATGGTATTTTAAAGTGTCCTAATAGTGTGTTGGAGTCC